GCGTGATGCGCGGGCGCGCGCAGAGGGCGCGCGCGCGGGCCGCGAGCGGGAGCAGCGGGGGGGGGTGGGTGCCGCGGGCGCGAGGGTGTGAGCGGGTGTGCGAGGTCAGGGTGGGAGTAGTGTGGTGTGTGGTGTGTGGTGTGTGGTGTGTGGTGTGTGGTGTGTGTTGTGTGTTGTGTGTTGTGTGTTGTGTGTTGTGTGTTGTGTGTTGTGTGTTGTGTGTTGTGTGTTGTGTGTTGTGTGTGGTGTGTGGTGTGTGGTGTGTGGTGTGTGGTGTGTGGTGTGTGGTGTGTGGTGTGTGGTGTGTGGTGTGTGGTGTGTGGTGTGTGGTGTGTGGTGTGGTGTGTGTGGTGTGTGGTGTGTGGGTGTGTGTGTGTGTGTGTGTGTGTGTGTGTGTGTGTGTGTGTGTGTGTGTGTGTGTGTGTGTGTGTGTGTGTGTGTGTGTGTGTGTGTGTGTGTGTGTGTGTGTGTGTGTGTGTGTGTGTGGGTTTGTGTGTGTGTGTGTGTGTGTGTGTGTGTGTGTGTGTGTGTGTGTGTGTGTGTGTGTGTGTGTGTGTGTGTGTGTGTGTGTGTGTGTGTGTGTGTGTGTGTGTGTGTGTGTGTGTGTGTGTGTGTGTGTGTGTGTGTGTGTTTGTGTCTGTGTCTGTGTCTGTGTCTGTGTCTGTGTCTGTGTCTGTGTCTGTGTCTGTGTCTGTGTCTGTGTCTGTGTCTGTGTCTGTGTCTGTGTCTGTGTCTGTGTCTGTGTCTGTGTCTGTGTCTGTGTCTGTGTCTGTGTGTGTCTGTGTGTGTCTGTGTGTGTCTGTGTGAGTCTGTGTGTATCTGTGTGAACGTGTGTGAACGTGTGTGAACGTGTGTGAACGTGTGTGAACGTGTGTGAACGTGTGTGAACGTGTGTGAACGTGTGTGAACGTGTGTGAACGTGTGTGAACGTGTGTGAACGTGTGTGAACGTGTGTGAACGTGTGTGAACGTGTGTGAACGTTTGTGAACGTGTGTGTGAATGTGTGAATGTGTGTGTGTGTGTTGGTTGCGGTACAGGTCTGGATGCTTGATTGGCTCGGGTATTTGCTGCTCAAGCCAAAATCGGACGAGAACGGATACATCCGTCCGAGGCGTTTCACTCTCGCTCCTGTGGTCAACAACTCAGCGTCCATCTCTCCATAGATGAGAAAGACACCGCTGACCACCTGACAGGCAATAAGACATGACAAGCCAGCTGCATGAATTCGAACCCCGAGCCTCCTCGACTGACGTGACGGTGCCTTCGCCAGGGAGGCTAAAGTCTATTGCCTCCACCTCCTCCAGTGGCATCGCAGCCAACTATCTCTCGTCTGGGCTTGGTTTTGCCGCGCAAGATGCACGCACATGACCAAGCTACAGCATGAAGCGTGCGTCCTGTTCTCCATCCTGACCCGCACATGGGGCCAAAAGCGCCGCTGCAAGGAAAATCCTTGGAAAGCGACTGTGGAACTTTCGACCCAAACTCTGCAAAAGTCACCCTCGGCGACCAGTGCGGGACAGCGACTTGAGCAGCCATAACAATCTGACCTGCATTGCAATGAGAATCGCGTGACGGTCCTTGCCACCTTTGGCTCAAGTGACTCGTGTGGAAATGCCGGAAAGTTGGGCTGGATCTCCCATGATCCCCCGGGAGGCCTTGGTGTTCGAGCCGCTCCTGAACAAGAGTAGACTGAAGTTATAAACTACCGAAGCCGTCTCCGCACCGAATCGCTATGCACAGCTGGTATGTGCTGATGCTTTTCAAGCTCTCCAGCGAACGAGGCAGCCGATCAATTCCTGCGCACGGGGCTGCCCCTGGCCTGCGAAGGTCACGGCGCAGCTTGAAGACTCCGGCCTGAATGTGCGCTACAAATCTTGATGCCCAAGCGCGAACGCAATGTGCTTCCCAAACCAAACCGTTCTCATCTGAGCGATGATCTGGGATCGACGCGAACTGCTGGACTTTGCCATGCCCTGCCAGATGCCTCGTGGGAAATCATGGTGCAAAGACCGCCTGTGCTTTCCAAAGAGCTTGGGATGAAACGGCATCATCCGCGGCTGCAAGCACTTGCATCGCACTGGATAGAGAGCACAGCCCACTCCTTGTAGCACCTTACCATGCTCTACCAAACCGTGAATGAAAGTCTTGGCTGTTGTCTGGGATGGCACTTGTTTATGTTTTCTCTTCGCGGCTTAGCCGCGAAGCTTCAAGGGTTTGAGCCGCACGCAAGCACCAAATACATGATGGCTATCCCACGTGGCCAGGCCTGCAAACCCCAAATACGGCAACCGCGCATTGGGGGCCCCAGTAAGATTCTTAAACTCTGTTAACGGATGTGGATGGCTGACGGAATGGCAGCCTCTCGGAATGGCAGCCTCTGCCGCAGGGGGACAGTCCACACCCGCTGGCAACCCTGACTTCCATGTCCATCCCGCCCCATTTTGTGCTCGCGAGAACTGTCACGGAAAGCACTACATCGTTGTGCTCTCGCACCGCTTGCGACCAATCTGCCGTACACGATTTGCAACCGGACCACCGAGCCTATAGCGGCAATGCACAGGACTAGCACACAACCGCTGTTCAATCCAGTGGCAATCCAAAGCTCGTGGAGAATGCCTCACATCTTCTTTTGCCCCGCGAATCTTAAGCGCGGATGAACAGGCAACTGGTGTGAGCAGGCGTATGCTGCCACGCTGCCTGAGGCTCTCACTTGTTCTCTGACTCCGAACACTGAAGCAAAGACTGGACAGACGAAATGTTTTCGTCATTGAGTCTTCTTCGCATCCTTGTCGCTCGTCTGCTTCTCCGACTCCTCCTGTGCTGAATAGGCAAAGCAAACTGCAACCCCATAAAAGAGGCCTGGAGTCGCAACAGATCAACATAACTCACATGCTCATAAGACCCGTCCCCAAGGCCTGCTCTTCCGAGAATTTCTGCGGCCAGGGTTTCATTGTGGAGCCAGAGATGTACAACACCTGTGCCAAACGTCCCCGAAGAATATGCCGGGGCTGAGAGAGCACCACTCTTGTTGGCCAGCGAATGTCGCGCTTTCTTTGTCTCGGGCTTACGCAAAGGACCTCTCTTCCCACAATCTCTCTTTTCTCTTTCCATGTCGTTCTCCCTTAGCCTTTATACTTCCTCTTATTCTTCTTCATCTTCTGCAGAGCTAGTCTTTCTTTCAAGGGTGGGCGTACAGTAAATCTCAGTAAATCATGAATCCATTGTGGGTCTCGACCATGGCATGCCTTTGAAATTGAACATGAAGATGGAAAGTGTCCACACAATGGCAACTCAACCTGGTCATGGCTTCGCACCCTGAAAGATCATCCGAACCGGGTAATGCGGGCAACCTACAAAACCGTGAAGATTCAGCAAGGACTGCAGAACTAAGACCGCGTCTGCGCCCAGGAGGATGAAGATCACCTGAGCAAAGGCTGAACTGAATGTCCATGCTCCACTACACGCGGAAAAAACTTGGCGTTGAGTTGTTGGCTCTATGTAAGGTTCCACTCGACTGAGTGAAGGGGAACTTTCACGACGAGGGCCCTGGTGCATTTCTGGTCTTGATCTCAATCCCAAAACCTTTCCACATATTGCTGCCCCGCCAGCTTAGATCAAAAGTACACACACACACAAAAACGCTGATGAAATAAATAGAAACATATCAGCAACTCATGCAAACGATAGTAAATCACCGGCAAAAAATGCATGCCAAGTAAGCCGATAGCAACCAACAAAAAAGACATTAAATCGTGTACCGAGCTCATTCCTTATGGCCCAAGGTCAGCCGGTATGTGCTTTGACAAGCCGCAGGGCCGCTCTTGCACAAGCAATGGGATGAACTAAGCTTGGTTAGAATGTAAGCAAAACACAACACGAACAAGACACGCAATGCAATTGCTAGTTGAAACGGAAGAAAACCAATAGAGCAAAAACAGATCATTGGGAAAATACATACAAACAAACATTGATGACAAAAGTACGGAAACGCATCAACAACCGTTGTCAAACCTCGTGTTTTAACAATTTGCCGCTCATAAAATGCAAACACGAGTCCAAGGCATCACTTTCCGCCCCATGGTGGTTGAAACGACCGGCCATTGGGAGCGCCAGGCAAGCACCCCTCCTGAAGCAGTTGGCTGGAGCGGTGGCCACACGATCTGGCGAGGATGCGGCGCCAGTCCATGCCTCCCTGCTGCAGGAGCTGAGCATCGTGGTGCGAAGCTTCGGGCTTGCGCCGCCCTTACGCGCCGTTGCGAATTGCCAGCCGCATGACGCAGCTGACGCAGCTGTGCAACCCTATCGGTCGGTGGTCGGCGCTACAGCCTTTCCTTCGTACGTTGAGTCCAACTGATTGCGCTCCCTCTTGTCTCTGCGCATGCCTGCGCTGTCACACCCCCATAGTGTTGGGTTGTTTTCGCGCCACCCTCAGAAGTTGGGTAGGAGCTGCTTCGCAGAGTTCCGCAAGGGCGCATACGCGCGCCTGCTTGGGCCAGGGGATCTACGAGCATGTCTTGTTACGTGTTGCACTCCCCTGTGTGTGCTTTTGTCATCGCACCGCCCTCGGAAGACGGGAGGGTATATGCATGCTTGCATACGCGAGCCGCGTTGTATACAGGGTCCTGCCAAGCGGATCTGTTTGCATCTTGGTCTTGTCAGTTCGCGCCGCCCTCAGCAGTAGGAGCTGGCCAGGTCCTCAGCCCTCACAAGTAGTGGTTGTTTCAGCTTGAAGCTGTTGATGTAAAGTATGATCCTCGCTTTCGATAGCTGCGATGAACACGAGTCCAAACGATAGCAAATCACTGGCAGAGGATATTTTAAGAATCAGCCGATATACAAAAAAACTATGAAATTCATGGTGCAGGGATCTTTCCCCTAATGCAAGAGACAAGTACAAGCTCAACTTGAAAGAAACAATCAATAGAGCCAGAGTCTACCACTGGAAAAACACTGAAAGAAAAACGCTGACGATACAAACCAAGAAAAACCGTTCTCAAACCTCACGGTGAAGAGATGCTTTGCCACACTGGAAATGCATACAAAGTCAGGCGATGCAAAAAAACGTCTGAAATCTTTTGAATTGAACTCGGTACATCATGGGAAAATACGACTTCTTCAATTTGGAGGTCCATCGAACGGAGCGTAAGATGAAAGAGGACACGATGCAGACATTCTTCGACACCGGCTGCTTGCAAGCCAGGCTCCGCTAGGAATTGGTACTCTGTCAGGCCCAGCAAATACTCGCTGGGAGGATGCCTTCGGCAGCCCAGCAAGCGCATTTCACAAGGCGATGAATCGGCTCAAAGCCACTCCTCCGGAAAGGCTCGACGACCATCCGCTCCAGACCGTAAAGGGAGAGCGTCAAGGCACTCCGGACCCCTGGCAAGGAGCTCTGCATGTGATCCGGCGAAAGGCTCGCTCCAGGAAACAAGCCAAGTCGCCGAGCCTACACGACGCTCAGAGCCACCCTTTCGGGGTAGCGCGACGGCAAAGTGGAGGAACAAGAAGAGCGCCTTTGAGTTCACAGTGTGAAAGGGTTCTTTTTTTGTGGTTGTGGACTTGCACGGATGCAGCTTCTCCCGCACTGAGACATGCTTCTCACGACTGCCAACAAAGATCCTTGACAAGGAAATCTCAGCTCCCATCCATCGAAAGAGTGCTCTCGTAAAGTGGAGTTGGATGCACCGGGTCTCTCCTTAGATGAACAAAGAGAGCCCTCACTTGGGGGCAGTGGTAATATTCTATTTAAGTACAATTTCTACTGTCTATACTGTTGAGAATTTAACAATAAAGGCCCCGAGAATTGGCCACTGAACTGCCAAAGGGCGTTGGCACTAAGCCGTTCGGAAAGGACATCGCCTCAACTGACACTGTCCAAAGTAGAGCATCTGAGTACAAGAGCATCTGGGTACAAGCAACTAGTGCCGTGAGTTCGAGACCCATGGAGCATCTGCTCTCGTTCGCGGTCCGAAGCAACCGTCTCCAGACCTCGGCAGCTTCTTTTGAGCCACGCGAGAGGACTGTAGATTTGTCGCCTGTCACGAGACAACACCCATCAGGTTGATCTCCCTGTGGTCGCAAGCAGCTTCGCTGAGGCAATCACAGGAAGCAGCCGATCTTCCCGACGGCGTGGCCTCAAAAGCTTCCCATGTGCTTGCGCATTTCTGGATTGCTCTGTTACTCATAATGCTGCCAGCTAACAGCTTGTACGCACCGACATATGCAAGCAGATCCCTGGAGACAAACATGTCATACTCTCGCGTGATGCTGAGATCAGTGCCTAGAGGGACAAGTGGTGCAATCAAGTCCAAGAGGATGAGGGGCCTCCAGCAAATCACACCCGTCGCTCTTTCTGTCATGACTTCCCATCCCAGTTTATGCTTGGACAGATGGATGGTGGGGACTGCTTTTGCCTGCCAGGATGTCAGCCCTTTTGACTGCCCATTGATTTCACCCGTTCTTTCCATTTGTGGCCAAACTCCGCAGCCTTGGCTTGTGGCGCTGGATGGCGCTAACAAATCCCAAAAAACTGCGTTGCAGGATGTTACGAGGCACACCCGGTCTTAAGACATCGAGGATCTACGGCAGTACTTCATGAATATTTGGGAACACAGGCCTTCGGTGGTTGCTGAGTGTACAGCAGATATTGGCAATGATGATGTTGCTGTTCTTTGTTTGTTGTTTGCTTCTTGTTGCTCGTTGCTCATTGCTCATTGCTCCTTGCTCGTTGCGCCTTGCTCGTTGCTCATTGCTCGTTGCTTGTTGCTTGTTGTGGTTATTGTTGTTGCTGTTGCCGTTGCTATTGCTGTTGCTGCGGTTGTTGCTGTTGCTGCTGTCGTTGTTGACAAAGACACTGTTATTGTTGGCATCTTCTGTTGTTGATGACGATGGCGATGATGCTGATGGAAAACGTTGCGATGATGGCTATGATGATGACGATGACTCGAATATCTGTGTGTTCAATGGGTCCTTGTTGGGATGGCAGGGGCCAGATCTGTCCTTCTTGTGAAAGCTTCGGGAAGTTCCACGTGCATCCATTCAGGGTCTTGCTCTCATTCTGCCAAAGGCCAAAAGGCCAAACGTGCCTCAGGCCGCACCACCAGCCGTAGGCTGAAGCAGTCATCAAGCCCCCAACGGCTGAGCCCATGAAGGAATGACCTCTGCGCCCCGCCAACAAGCAAAAGCAGGCAGAGCAACTGGCAGCACTCACTCTCTCTATAAGGTGTTGAACATATGCTCTTTTGAAACACTCAGTAACACTCAAGGAGTTGCTTTTGCCCTCTGTTCTCTCACTCTGGCCTGTTTCGAGCGACATGTTTGGGACGGCGCCGCCGGCGGCCAGTGCAGACACCAGAAGGTGCACCTGTTTGTGCCCAAGAATCTAAGAAGCAAAGGCTACGAAAGGCTAAGAACGGCTCAGAAAGGCTGAGGCCATGCTGCGGTACTATCCTGTGGCACTCTGCTGCGGCATTCAGTGGTCGCAGACAATCCAGCTGTGATGGGGACCTTTGATCCAATTCCAAACCCCGGGATGAAGGCCAGCATCATCAAAGCCTGTTGCAACCGATGCACATGCAGCAGTGGGTGCTGGACGAGGTGTCACAAGGCCGTGTGCTGTGGCTGTGTCCGAAACTTCCTAGGTGCTACCACAAGACGACTCGGGCATCAGGCCGGCTCCTAAAATTGAAGGTAAAGAGGAAGTGCGAGCGCGAACTGCGAGAAGACACTACTCAAGCACTGCAACTACAAAAGAACAAGAGGGTCACGAAAGTAGAATCCCAGAGCCAGGGCTGGTTTTAGCTCATCCAAAACTTGCATATCCAACCAACCGCAACCGAGCGACGAACCTTACTATACGTTCGCGCAGTACACTCGTGCAGAAACCGGCTAATCAATATTTTGAGTAAGCGCGCCTTGTCTTGAGGGCATGCACATGGCAACTAGATCGCCCAGCTCGAAAGGGATGCATCACCGCGAAGTGCAACCCCATGTCACATCTACATGCGACGTGCCCATTACGAGCTCCAAAGTCTTAATAGGATCGCTTGGTCAGGAGCTTCAAAGCCTGGATACCGTTGTTGAAATGCTAAACAGGCATGTACTTTTGCCGACTGTCCGATGCAAGGCCAAACCACCTCCCAATTAAAGCGGGGCAAACTCTGCTTTCTGCTAGGCAGAGACACGTAGCGTAATGTAGCGCTTTTGTGCTGCAAAGCTGCTCCGTCTGCCGAGATGCGAAGACGTTTGAGCTCCATCTCGAGCACAACCTAAGGTCATGTGCGCCGTCCTTGCATCTACACTCGAAGTGGACATTTTGGCAGTTGAGTTCGCGACCACGCAGGATGCAAGCGCGGCTGCAATAAACACGCCATACGTGTAGACCTCCGACCATGAGACAGGGCGTGGCACACATTTCCCGTCATTTCCCTCACCTCACGGTCATGAGTCATGAACTCACCTCATTTGCCGTTACAGTCAAGATGGCTAGGTTTCATGGCTTTGGGGCCCTGTCGTTGGGGTCTCGAGGAGAAGCAGAGGGCTTGCTTGCACAGTGTAAGCGAAAGAGCTGCCCTGCCTTGAAGCCCAAAGGTAGTGTGATGAGGACTGGGCTAACAAAGTTGGCCACAATCATGGCTCAACCTCGTGGAACGCGCAAGCTTCGAAAGCAGCCTAGCGACATCCGAGTGCGACCAGAGAGTGATAGACCATGATAGATCACACACACACAAGGTTGCCTTGTAAATTCGATTGACTTCGCCAACCCAGAAACCTTGTCATCTCCCTGGAGAACAGCTACAGCACGGTTCAGTTTAGGACCGATGATTCGGCTTACATTTTGTGGCAACGCACGCCCTGACATTCAACAGCTTTGCCGGCTTTCCTCTGAGCCTCACGCCGAGCGGGACCAGGAGCCAAGCTTAAGTTTTTGCTGCGCTGCAAGATGTCATCACTTGAGGGAAGAACGCCCGTTCTCAACTTGCTTCAGCTCCATCTGACAACTATAGATTGATGCGAGCGTGGTTTGAGCACAACCTCATGCAACATACGTTACGTGTAACTGCCCATCTGAGGACGTGGTACGAGCACGCGACGAGCTTGTCAGGCTCTACCTCGAGCCGATACCCACAACCGGGCTTGCGTCATACCGCAAAAAGAGTGGGCAGCTAGGTGCCTGCTCCGAGCTCTCCAGTCGCTTGAACCCGTCTACAGATGAACACCAATTTTCAGAAACACACCGGGTGCGCAATCAAGTGAGACACGGCATCGAGTTGCGGCAGTCTCTTCTGGTTGCAGGTTGATGAAGCGCCGGGGGGCCATGAAAGCTGCATGGCAGATTCGCTGCACATGGCGACCTGCATCAAAACTGAGCGCAGTTCCTTCAAGTGACATCTTTCCAGGAGCTTCATCGCCTTGGCCCTTCTTGCCCGTCCTCGTCCTTGGCCGTTCTTGACTCTCCTGCATAGCACACGCATCTCAAGTGGGAGGGGCAGGATCCCAGGTCAGCACTCTGCCTCTCGCCTCTCACCGTCCACTCAGGCCCGCAGCACCTGAGCTCACGTTGTGAGGGGGAGGTCGCTTTTGGAGAGCTTGGGGCTAGGACCTCACAGGCAATCGCCTCACGGTCTTGGACCTCGCGCACTCCAGAGCCAGGAAACACCGCTGCTCTTGAAGCTGGTATGAGGATGCGGACGGGGCGTATGCATGCACAAGGGGCCGCCTCGCGGCCATCACGAAGGCGCCAAGGACCCTCAGCCCCCTCGCCGAGCAAAGCCACCTGGCATCCAAATTCCAGACGGGCATCGCCAACATGTGGGTTTCAGCCGTTCCAATCTCAGGCTCCGCTGCTGCTCCTTCCTTTTGGAACACATGTGGCAAACGATTGCTCAACTGTTTCAGAGATTCGGCTTTCAAGCGCAAAGCCTCTGTGCAGTTGGCTACACAAGACCAGTGCAACTTCGTCATCATGATCTTTAGTGCATGCCGGCTTCAGTTGATGTACAGGACTGGTATGTCCACCGCATTGTTCAGCAAGTGCACCGTCAGAGACGACTTCCTGACTGACATGGCCATGAACTCAACCAATGTAATACCGGAAACAGAAGGTGAGGGCTGCATCAAATGCATCAAGCCGCGCCGATCCGGAAACGCCAAGGCATGAGTCAAACGCGAAGGGGGCTGAATCAGAGATTGCGAGGGGCTCAATCGGACAAAACACGCGTGTGACGCTGCACCAAGCGGCAGCATGTAACTTTGGCATTCCTTCGCCTGCGACGCGCGCTACACCCAGCGAAGGGCCGGCCGGGGCCGGCTGCCAAGGCGGTGCACGCAAGCGTTTTTCTTAAGAATCCTTGTTCCCGAGCCCTAGCCTTTTTTGGGGGAATTTTGCGAGCTGCGTGACTTTCCCTTTCGTGGCGCTCTTAACTTTTCACGTGCTTCGCGGTTTCGCGAGCCTTGCAAGGCTTCACGGGCCTAGCTAAAGCCCCAAAGGCCTTTGTTTGCACTAAGGTTCAAGGTTGAAGGTTTTGCGGCTGCTACTAAGGAATGCAAACTAAGCTACCCGTCGTCGCAGCAAAAGGGTCCTGCGGCGGCTGCTGGTCGGAGCGACCCACCCCCCCTGCACTGCAGCATCTCGGCCGTGCCGGTCCCCCCGCGGGCAGTTCTGGCCCACGTGGTTATAAACCCTTGGCCCTTAGCCCTGTGGATCCCTGTGGTCAGGGGTTCCACCGTATTCCTAAAGCGCATTCGTCTAGGGTTTAGCCTCACTCGGAATCCTGACGCGCCACCCACTTTCTTTCGTGTATTAAGTTGCTTCGGAACCTTTTGATTCAGCCCCAGCATTTTCAGATGCACCCCCCACTGTTTTCTCAATGGCGTGTCGACGCTTCTCCCTGACATGAAGCCAACATAACACAGAACCAGACAAAGGCAAGGTGCAGCACGCCCAGTACAGTTCTGCCCTTCAGGAAGGGCTCGAAGAGGTTCCCGATTCCGGGCATGCACTTCGTCCCTGCCACTAGCACCTAGCAAACTGGATGTCTGCGAGTACATCTGCAGGACACAGGTCTTCGAAAACTGCAAGCCGACTGAACTCATCTTGCAGTGGCACATCGCATCCGTTGTTGATTGCCGTGTCCAACAGCCTCTCTCCCAGCAAGTGGCCAGACTGAACCTCAATGTGTGTTCCAATGACCTGCTTGATGCCACCGCCGTTTCCTGACGCAGGGCGACACGGTCACCCCTCCGGCTCTGGTTGTACATTAGAAAGAACATACTAAGAATTGAATGCACTAAGGGACTAAGGGAATTGCTGGGATCCTGCAGCTTCACAAGCTTCCCTCAGCGCTCAAGGTTAGGAAACATGCTGCCAAGTCCGTCCTGAAAGGATTTGCTCCGCTTCTTGAAAGAGCGACTCTGCCTGCTGCTGCGCATGCTGCGCATCCTGCGAGACTCCGACTCAGGACAGGAATGTGCGATTCTTTGAACACTTTGGCCCAAGGACTTCCCCCGAAGCACCTCCTCGGCGGTGCTTGCCGGTGCGCCGCGGAACTTGCCTCGAGGAACTGGAGGCGGCGGCACATGAGCGTGAAGGATCTCCACCGTGTCCTCCCAACAAAAACGGAAATGGCCGTGCTGAAGGGACCGCTTTGATCTGGTTTCCATCGGCTCGACGCACGGAGGTGTCGCTTCAACCAAGAAAACTACACACGAGCTGAAGCCGAAACCTCCCCAGCAATTTAACTCAACTATACAGACTATGCTCAACTCGTCTCCTGGGGACCGGTGTGCCCTGCAAGCACTTCCAGCGCATGCCGGCTTGTGGAGCAACCATCATAAACGACGGTGTACTTCAGGCCAGTCTCTTGGGCAGGCTGCCACGTTGCTAAAGGGCAAACTAAGAGGCGTATGTCGGCGTAGCCTCAGATAGTGGTCTTCAAGCTGCAGGGGAGCACAGGAACGAGAGAGGAAGGCCCGTCCGTCTCACTAAGGAAAATGCGAGAAAGCTTGCCTTCTCAGGGCCAGCCACTCTGCATGATGTAGCTGGCTAGGGACTTGTGAAGCACCCGCCCAGGGCCATGCGATCCCAAGGACACGAAGTGAGCATCGGCTTTCCCAACGAATGAAGTGATTGCAGCACCAGGAGACATCACTGTTTGCACCTGGGTTTGTATGGTACTGGGCTCCGATGCCGCTTGCCGGAAAACTCCCACCACTGTGTCGATGCCTTTCTTCGCAGACGCTTCCTCCGCCACAAGGTTTGCATTGGCCTGCTCGGGACAAACCTCGGCAAACGACGACCGGGCAAAGTCAGGGAGTGGGATGAGGTGGGATGAGGTGGGATGAGGTGGGATGAGGTGGGATGAGGTGGGATGCAGGCACTCGCAAAGGCCGAGCGACCTTAATAGGAGTACTTTCACCCCAACCAAACAAGCAGCAGCGCCACCGAGGCCCGCACATCATTCTGAGCAGCCTTTATTGCACGGTAGACCTGCACAGCTGAACTCCATGCTTGAGAAGGGGACACTATGGCTCACTGTGGTTGCTGCTCCAGGAACTTCAAGGAGGGGGGGAGAGACCGGGGACCCTCAGTACAAGCCGCTAACTATGGATTTATCGGACGGATAAGGCCTGAATTTCAGCACGAGAGAGGCAAAACGCCCAACTACCGCAAACTCCCAAAGAGAGAGAGAGGCTTTCGTGATTCTGCAACTTGACAAGGCACCCAAACTGAGTCACCAGTCTGGAGCATGCGTGACATGATTTGAGCAGCAGCAACGGATTGCGGCTCGCCATCGACACAAGCCACTGCCTCGGCTTTGAAGTCTTCAGGGCCCAGAACCCACGGCTGAAATATTTCGAGCTGGGACACAGTAAGAGCAGGTCTTGTTGAGGAGTATCTCACCGTAGCATGGAGCGGTCGCCGCAGGATCAAAGCCCGCGTTCGCACGATCCTCTGGCACCGTTGCCGGAGAAGGTAGATGCAAGAAATGAAGAACCGAAGCTGGACACATGTTTCAAAGGGGGGAGTTGTCGAGAGTACCTGTTGTTAAACTACATTTTGAGGCGCATGGCATGAGCAGCTGCCAGACTTGCTGGGGCAAACGAGCACAACACAGGAGGTCTTGCTTTCGAGGTGTTCCCGTGGTTTTACGGAGTCTTTGTGCCTGGTGCCTGTGCTTCATGCACGAAGGTGTCGCTCTGCAAGTGTTTTCGAAATGTCACCACATACCGCACTTCTCGTTTTATCGACTGGATGATGTTCTGAACTCGCGTTGTTTCCTCTTATCGGTTTGCCGAGCTACATGCGCATTTGCTCGATATGGCAGGGGTTGTATCATCCCTCATGTGCATCAAGCAAGATGTACAAAAGTAGGGCGGGCACGACCAGCCCCGACCTAAGAGTACGAGTCGTAGCAATAATAAGGGTAAAAGAAATCGACATGGTCAGCACCCCTCGCTTGACAAGCACCGCGAAAGATGCCTCCAAGCAGGAGCCATGGACCGCAATGAAGTCTCAAGATGAGGTGCAGTGCAGCACGAATGCCTAACTCGCTGCCTACACCAATGAGGGTAGTCAAGACAGGCGTGAATCCACTGCCAAGAACTAGACCTAAAGCACCAGAGCTGAAGGCTGAGTATCACGATATCCTCTCCTACCGACATGGCTGACATAACCATCGGAGCTATCTTTTGAACCAGGCCCGGTCTCAAGCAATCGCAGCAATCACGCTTGAAAGAATGTCCTTCACTCTCTCCTCGAAACATGAAGAGGGGCACCGGACGCAATCGCCCCGCCAAGACAAACTGCTGCACAGCCAGACGCACCTGCAAGAGAACGCGACTACGAAAACCAGTGAAAGTGCCTTTCATACTTTAATGATAGTCGCTCTTTATGTCTGACTCGCGTGCTGCACGTCTGCTAAGCCCTCAAAAGCCTCCCTAAGCCTGAATCTCCACATTCGAGGGCCAGGCCCCTTCTTCTGCCCCGTAGTCATCGAAGATGATGAGGCCCACCTCGGGCTGCAGAACTTCGACACTTCGGTTCTGAACTGGACTTCACTAACGTAAGCCCGTCACCGTGGGGATTCGTAGGCAGTTGTCAATATCATGCATGACCTTGGCAGCAAACAGGCCTGTGCCCTTTCAGAATCTTGTTGCTTGCTGCATGAATGATCAGCAGCGTATGCTCTTCACAACCAGACTGTCAAACTGTATATGCCTCTTGGCCTCCTCCTAATCCTGCCCTCGAACACCGAGCAAACCTCTCTCCCAGCGACCACAACTTGAGGTCGGGCTGTTTCAAAGTCATGAGATGCGTCCAGGAAAACAACCTGCGAGGCGCAGTCACCATGGTTTCAAACCTCTCTTCCGGGCTTTGTCTGGGCTCCTTGGGGCATTGGAGTGCAGCGTCAAGTTGTTTCTCACTTCCACGCCAATCCGCCGAGGCCCTGGGCCTGTCTGGGTGGCACCCCACCTCCAATCCCTGCCTTTATTTTGCATTTTTGGCCTGAAATGGGTACCCCTAGCCGACAAGTGTCCGGGAGCAAACGGTGCATCAGACGATAGCCGCCTCTTTCAAGCCTCAATTCTTCGGCCCTGCTGGCCTCAGAACTTGGAGGTCCTTTCGCCTTCTCCTATTTGCTGCGCCCCTTTCCCACCCCCCACCTGCCCCCAGCCCCCTGGTTTGGGTTGCCTTGTTACAGAAGCTCATGCAGAGGCGGGTTAAAATTACAAGCCTTCGTCATCCTTCGTCACTGCACTGGCAATGCTGGAGACGCGCTGCGCGTGTTTCCACATGTTGACTTTGCCAGGCAGATGCCCACAGAAGGTTGCAGTACGAGCCGCCTGGATTGCATTCAACGAGAAAATGCCCCAGTCCTGGGCCAACTCTGCACACAGCGCACAAAGGATAACACGTTATGACTGGTTTGCGTTATCACTGGTTTCTGCGGCTGTGACAGCTGCTTCACTCGATGGCCCCTGCTGCTGTGCCAAGTAATCTCAGGAGCTCACATGGTCGGTGGTGTGGAACCTGGCAAACAGTTAACCGTTCTTTGACCACTCATCGTGACTGTGATTGTGTCAGGTAGTTCAGGCCTAATGTACAGGATGTTGTCCCGATCAGAGTTGTAGTCTCGATTGGCCTCGACCAAGCATCAGTTCTGCTCATGGTTTGTTCGACATACCAGCTCTCAAATCTTTCAAATCTTCGAGCCGCACCTGCAATAGCTCGGGCACTGCATCCAGTGCGATTACCTGCTACGTCCGCACTCACGGAAACGCAACAACATCTGCACGTGCATCAGCAGTGGCAGTGGCGTACCCGCTTGAAGAGCTGACTGAGAATTCGAGTAGTGTACCCGAAATAGGAACCCACCTCGCAACAGCGATTGGTCCTTCGGAAGAAAGTACTGCCCCGACAGCAAGTGTACGGCGACATGGCCTCCAGCACAGTCAAGTTTTCCGAGAAGCCTGCCAAGTGTATGCGCAAATCCTGCCAGGAAAGAGGGAACACATGTTGGCCATCTGCATGGGCATGAAACATCGTCAGGCTGCCATCTGCCTATGTCATCCGATTCTCTTGCTGCAGAGTTGCCAACGATGCAAGGTCTGACAGCTGGCCATGCCGTGTATGCATTTTTTCTGGATGTTTCGCCACAGCAACGCGCAACGCTCCAGTCCTGAGGTGAGGAATCATGGACGCCGAAAACTTGAAAGGACATGCTGAGTCGCTCTGAGGGCGTAGGAACACAGGCTTGAGAGGTCCTCGAAGTCTTCTGGCATCCTGGCCCTGTCGCCGCGCCAGGATGCTGCCAAAGCTGTAGCAGCGGTGTCACATCCTTATCCATGCCAGATGTCCGGGAGCCGGCCTGCAACCAGGTACACATAGATACAGGATCGTATCGGTCTGGCTCTGCCATGTTCAATGCTTCGGGGACAAACCTTCTCAGCCTCCATGGCATGCATCCTCAGATTCGGATGCCAGGCCAGCAGCTGCTCCCAGCCAGCGAGGAGGGCGACACTATGCAACGCCAATTCCGTGGCCCATCCCAGGGTCTGGCAACCTTGCAGAGTATTCCGTGGTCGCACACCCGCAATGTCCCGCATCTATGTAAAGACAGAAGCAGAAAAGAACATGCTGACAAGATGCAGCATTTACGGCACCAACCAAGCTCGACTTCGCTCTGGTGGGTCCGTCCCTGCCAGCTTTGCCCAGCTTGCCTACCCTCCCCGTCCCCACACCCCTCCCCGTCCCCACCCCACCCCCCCTCAACATCCTAAACGCAAAACAGGAAAGTTCACCTTGGGAGTCTACGAAGTCGCCGAGAGCGACAGCGAGAGATGCCGCCGCCTGCATCATGTAGCTGGTGCTTGGCTGAAGCTTGTCTCTTCGAGGGACCAGGGCCCAGAGCCCAGAGCCCATTTAAAGGACTTTTCGTAGGTGGCCTGCTCAGTGCATGCCGCTTCTGCAATTTCCTTAACGCGGTGCTATTTCAGTGGTGTTCAGTGCTCACGGAACTTGTCCGGTGAAACTCCCGTCAGATGTCTTGGACAACGCGGGCGACTTGGGTCATTCAGCCACCCCCACGGCTCGCAACCCCGGCCCCGAGTCGGCGTGCGACCTCTCTTCTTGCAAGCGTTTGCCAGTTGTCTAGAAGCGGAAAACGCCCGAGGCCGGCAGTAGAACCTGATCGCTATGCACCCAAACCCTCGAAACAAGCCTTAAGCCGAAACTTAATCCTCACCCCAAAGCTCGACACACTAAACTGCCTTACCCCCCCCCTCCCCGAACTTCTTCAACCCTAAATGGGAAGGTTCACCTGGCGCGCATGCGAAGTCGCCGAGAGCGACGGCCAGAGACGCCAGCGCCTGCGTCATGTAGCTGTCGCTTGGCTGAAGCTTGTTTCTTCGAGGGACCAGCGCCCAGAGCCCTTTCCGTAGGTCAAGATTATTAAAGCTCGAGGACCGTTTGAGGATTTAGGGCTTGTGACGGCTGAAGTGCAGGGCCTGCTCAATTTCCTTTGCGCGATGGTAGTTCAGTTCTCACGGAACTTGTCCGGTGAAACTCCCATCAGATGTCTTGGACAACGCGGGCGACTTGGTTCATTCAGCCACCCCCACGGCTCACAACCCCGGCCCCGAGTCGGCGTGCGACCTGCTGCAGTTGCATGCATCGCTCCAAAGCGACCTCGCGCAGGTCCTCTCCAACATTCACCATCTCATCATACTGAGCTGACTTGATGAGCTGATTGTCCAGGCATTGTAGTGCTACGGTCTGTTTAATCATGGCTTTGAACGCGGGCAGTTTGGCCCTAACGACGACTGTGCCCTCGTCACGACCCGGACCCAGCCCCAGGGCGGGGCGCAGTGGGGCTCCAGATTCGGCCCCGGGGCGCCAGGTGACAACCACATAGGACAATATTTCCCGGCACAGCTCCGGGTTCACTGAATGCAGCTCGACAAGGTCCTCTCTGGAAATGAACAAGGTTTGAACCATAGCCTCCAGTGAGAGGTTGTTCATGTCCACGTGCCGGTCCACATGCGGCAGAAGGTCTCTGCCCGTGGCCATCTCAGGAGGCGCTGTCTCTTCAGGTGTGGCGGCAGCTTCGGATGCAATGGGGGTGGAGCGGGAAGAGCACCGCGCCTCGTGCCAGCGCCGTGCCACGCCGAGCCCGTTTACTCCAAAGAGTCCGAGTCGACGACCGCAGCGGCGGCAGGCGGCCCTTTCACAGGGCCTCATGGCGTCAGCATCCCCCCCAACTCAGTGGAACTATGCCGAAACTCGTCGTGCCTCTACGCAAGAACCCCTTGGGTTTCAGGGTGGCTGGCCCACAGTCGCCCCGGCGATGGGAGCTATAGCTGTTCTACACAGCCCTAACCTGCAGTTCAAGATATTCTGTTGCTTGCTCTGCTGTGGCTGAGCCGCAAATGCTGGAAGAAAATTTCGCTACCTTGAGCACCAAGAAACACCACACCCTATACCCTAACCTCTTCCGACTCCCATCGCTTCTGTTACATTCTGTTGGCTCTACTCTCCTTTGCGTCGGCTAGCATGACCGGTTGTACCGAGCCATTCTATACAAACATACAACATGTGTTTCCTAGAAGGCCACCCTTCTTGCAAGCATTGCCAGTTGTCCAGCATTGCCCTACGAGAGCGAGGAAAGAACCCGAGGCCGGCAGTAGACCCTGAAGAGTAGGCACCCCAACATACCCCAACCCTGAAACCTTAAGCCGAAACCGTGCTCCTCAAAGCACGGAAATAAAAATCAAAGCTCGAAGCGCTAAACCCCCTACCCCACCACCCCCAACTTCCTAAACCCTAAACGGGAAGGCTCACCTTGCGCGACTGCGAAGTCACAGAGAGAGCGACAGCGAAATGGGTCGGCGCCTGGGTCACGCAGCTGGCGCTTCGCTGAAGCTTGTTTCTTCGAGGGATCGCAGGGCTTATGTAGGGCGCAGGGCTTGGGTTTAGGGTTTACAGGAAGTACGGGGTTGACGGGTCTTTGGGGTTTATAGTCTTGAACAAGGGCTATTTGATTCCCACAACCCTCGAAAAGGACCCGGATAATGACCCTGATATTGCTCAAACATGATTGTCAAAAGTCTCATATGCTGGGGGCAATCAAGCATCCCTTGTCGATTTGGGATTTAGGGTTCGTGGCCGACTGAGGCGTCTGGCAGCTTGTCTCTCCGAGAGGGATCAAGACCCATCGCCCAGAGCCCATTCGAAGAGCTTTTCAGGCAGCGCCAGGGCTTAATGGTCTAAGATGGTCTAAGTCTAGAAAGCTCGGGACCGTTTGGGGATTTAGGGCTTGCGACGGCTGGAGTGCAGGGCCATGCAGGGCCTGCTTAGTGCATGCTGCATCTGCAATTTCCTTAGCGCGGCGACGGGAGTTTCACCGGACAAGTTCCGTGAGCACTGAACTACAGTGCTCACGGAACTTGTCCGGTGAAACTCCCGTCAGATGTCTCGGACAACGCTGTCGACTTGGGTGATTTAACCACCCCCACGGCTTGAAACCCCGGACCCTAGGGTCCGGGGTTGCAAGCCGTGGGTGGCTGAATGACCCAAGTCGACAGCGTGGCCCTAGTCGGCGTGCGACCTGCTGCAGTTGCATGCATCGCTCCAAAGCGACCTCGCGCAGGTCCTCTCCAACATTCACCATCTCATCATACTGAGCTGATTTTATGAGCTGGTTGTCCAGGCACTCTAGTGCCACGGTCTGTTTAGTCATGGCTTTGAACGCGGGCAGTTTGGCCCTAACGACGACGGTGCCCTCGTCACGACTCGGACCCAGCCCCAGGGCGGGGCGCAGTGGGGCTCTAGATTCGGCCCCGGGGCGCCAGGTGACAACCACATAGGACAATATTTCCCGGCACAGCTCCGGGTTCACTGAATGCAGCTCGACAAGGTCCTCTCTGGAAATGAACAAGGTTTGAACCATGGCCTCCAGTGAGAGGTTGTTCACGTCCATGTGGCGGTCCACATGCGGCAGAAGGTCTCTGCCCGTGGCCATCTCATTAGGCGCTGTCTCTTCAGGTGTGGCGGTAGCTTCGCAGGCAATGGGAGTGGAGCAGGAAGAGCACCGCGCCTCGTGCCAGCGCCGTGATGCGGCGTGCCACGCCGAGCCCGTTTACTCCAAAGAGTCCGAGTCGACGACCGCAGTGGCAGCAGGCGGCCCTTTCACAGGGCCTCATGGCGCCAGCTTCAAACCCCCCGCCCCCAACTGAGTGGAACTATGTGGAACTCGTCGTGCCTCTAACTAAGAACCCCGTTTCACGGTGGCTGGCCCACACTGGCCCCGGCGACGGGATCTATAGCTGTTCTGAGATGAGACCCGAAGGTAAACAGCCCTAACCATTTCTGATTGCAGTTCAGAATATGTTGCTCGCTCTGTGTGGCTGAGCCGCAGACGCTGCAAGAAGTTTTGCTATCTTTAGCCTCGTGAAACACCGCTTGCGACTCCCATCGCTGCTGTCACTCCTCTCTGATTTGTGTCAGCTAGCATGACAGGTTTTACCGAGCCAAACATGCAACACAACATGTGTTTCCTAAGGGCACGCCAAAAAAAACAAACAAAGCTCGAAGCCCTAAACCGCCTACCCTCACCCCCTTCCCCAACTTCCTAAACCCTAAACGGGAAGGCTCAACTTGCGCGACTGCAAAGATGCATAAAGCGACAGCGAGAGGCGCCGGCGCCTGGGCCATGTAGCTGGCGCCTGGCTGAAGCTTGCGTGTTTTTCACTGGGGGTTCTGTAAGGCCACTCTTCTTGCAAGCGTTGCCAGTTGTCTAGAAGCGGAAAACACCCGAGGCCGGCAGTAGAACCTGATCGCTACGCACCCAAACCCTCGAAACCTCAATAAGCCTTCAGCCGAAACTTAATCCTCACCCCAAAGCTCGAAACCCTGAACTGCCTTACCCCCCCCCCTCCCCGAACTTCCTCAACCCTAAATGGGAAGGTTCACCTGGCGCGCATGCGAAGTCGCCG